CTGCCATCTCGTTCGTGCCTGCTCCTGGTGCGTGCGCAGTGGCAGCGCTCGGTTCAGTGCCCTCGCTGTCCAAAGTCTGCTGCGAGCCACGGCTCAGATTCCCCTTTCTCCCTTTCTTGGTAAATGTGTGTGCAGTTTGGTTTTGTTTTGTAGGGTTTTTTTTCCTTCTTCCCCTCCTCTCCCTGTCTCTTTTGCTCCATGCTGTCCATTGGTGTGGGATTAGGTTTGTACTTTTAATCGTCTGAGGTCACATCTATTTCCTCCGGACTCGCCTGCTTGGTGGCAATTCTCCACCGATTAATGTGGTGTGTCCCTTTTTTCTTCTGTTGAGAATCTGAGCCTTCTTCCTCTAGCTTCTGCCTTTTGAATTTCGTCCTCCGGTTCTGAAACCATACTTTTACCTGTGGGGAAAGGCAAGCGGGCATCGTTAGATGCTTCACGGTGCCTTCCTACCAAACGCCAGAGGCCTGCCCCTTGCCCAGGCCTGACCACAGCTCCCCAGATACATACCCTAAGGGCTGACCACTTTTAGGTTTCCTCTCTGAGAGCAAGGACTGCAGGTGAGAAGCCTAGTCCCCTTTCCTTCCAAAACCTACCAAGGAACATTTCCCCAAGGGCCACAGTAGCCTCATTGGAGTCGTTTCTCCCATGCACAGCCCACTTAGAGCAAAAGCTTTTTGCAAAGCATGCAAAACTTTGTTAAAAATAATTAAACAAGGAAAAAATAAAGAAAAAAAATAAAGTATGTTTCTTTCTTGCTCAGCCAGTGATTGCATAAAAGACCTCAGTCTTTTTAGCCGGGCCTAATATGCTTTCTATTTTCTGTCAGTCTGAAGTTGCCTAAATATAGCGCCTCTTCTGCCAGGCCAAGGCCTGCATAGAAGATAGGGCCTTGCTGGGGGATACTGGCAGGTGAGCAGGAGTTAGAGACCCGCCCAGAGGGAGCCCAATGGACAGCGACTTTACAGGCCTCACTCGGGGCCTGCTGAAGGGAAAGCTTCAGGGAGATTGTGACTTAGGAAAGAAGTAAAAGAAACTGAACAACAGGAGGGAGAAGGAGAAGCGCCTCTTCCCTTGGCTTCTGTCCAGTCCCCAAAAAGGGTAGGGTCAGCTTCAACTTCAGTCACATCTCTTCCCTCTGGACCCTCCCTGGACCTTGCAGCTAAGAGTCTCTGATGTTGAAGTCAGCTGCCACCAACTGCCCGGTGGGGAAGTTGGGTGATGCTCTATTCAGCAGCACGGCCCAAGTTTGCCCAGCAGTGTGGTTACAGAGGAAGAAGACAGTAGTGACTGCAGCCCCCGCGCCATGATGACTGCAGCCCCGCGCCCTGATCGCGGTGACCCAGTCAGAGCCCCTGAGCTCCTGAGGTACCACTCCATTCCCACCTTTAAGACTTCCACGGAGTCCTACTTGTTCTCCCCAATGCCCCTGTCCCCCAAAGTGCAGAGCCTGAGCAAGGCTGAGTTTAATTTGCTTTGAGTTTGCTAATTAAAGGGGAGGACAGTTCACTCCCCCAACCCCCACCCCTGCGTTTGCCCAAAGCGTGCGTCGGTGCGCTCGGGGCTTGACACGCACACAAAGACTCCAGGCAGTGTGGGCAGCGAGGCGGACAAAGACCACCGCTGCCTAGGCTGTCCAGGAGAAATCAACTGGGCCTTGCCTTGTGCCCGCCCTGCACAAACCCGCAAGGTCTTCTCGTTATTTCTTACACCCCGTGGAGGGGAAATTTAAAAAAAAAAAAAAAAACCGATTTGAGCTTCTCAGAAAAAGCAGTACAACTTACTCTGCCCCCAAACGTTACTACTGTTTGCTGAGAACTTTGACCCTGCCTCGCGTCTGGGAGCCCGGTAGCGCCTACTGTAGACCGAAACCCCCTCCCCGTCTTGGGACTAACCCAAGCTAGGCTGCCAACACTTGCTGCGCAGGGAAGACCGTGTCCCCTAAGGCTATCTCGCTGCGAACTGTCTAGTTTTCAAGATCGCCCAGCCGCCTGGCCCCCAGTTTCTGACTCCCCGACATTCCCTTAAGAAGAATAATCGGGTGGGTGGAGAATCTTTCAGAACCTGTATCAAAACCATTCCCTACCTTCGCCAGCCTTGAGCCCTAGTCACCAGAACACCCTGCTGCAATTAGCCACATCTCAGATCCCAATTGCGCCTCCGTGATTCTCACCAACACTCTCAGCAAAACTACAGAGGTGGGTTGGCTTGGATTTCCCGGGGCCTGAGCAGCGGAGCAGAAGAACGAACTCATCCCTGCAGCTCATACTACCCTAACAACGCCAAGCACCTGGAAAGTTACAGATCCGAAGCTCTGGCTTGGAATACACTCCACGAACCCTCTAGGAGCTCAGCAGTGGTGGATGTACCGGACGCTGTCTGCCTGGGTCTGGATGGGGTACCCTAGCTGCTGGGCCACACTCACCTGAGTTTCCGTAAGGCTAAGGCTGTGCGCCAGCTGCTTCCTTTCCGCTCCCACCACGTAATGATTCTTCTCGAAGGCGTGCTCCAGCCTTAAAAGCTGGGACGGCGAGAAGGCGGTTCGGATCCGCTTCGGCTTTCGGGCCAGAGCGTTGTGCAAAAGGAAACTCTCGGGACTTGTGTCGTTCCCTGCAGGGTGCACAGCAGAAGTACCATTAGGGGGCCTCCCAGGCCCGAGTCGTGGGCTTCTCCGGAGCCGGGCTGGCCCAACGTAGTTCCCTGGGCCTCTGACAAGTCCGCAGCGCCAAACCCGCTGGTCCGGTGGCACTCCCTGGGCTTTTGAAAAGGACACCGGCTGAAGGGCCCGACCCTGGTCCCCGGGGCTCCAATCTGGGCGGTACCCAACTAGCGATTGTCTCTGAGGTCCTCCGACTCCGGACCTCCGCGGGCTCCGCCACTGCCCTGGCACCGCAGGCCTGGACACTTTCATGCCGGGTGTGTCGGGAGCAGAAGTCAGGAGGATAGAGCCCAGGCGAGGAGATTGGTGCCCATTATCCAAAAATAAGAATAAGAATAGATTGCCTAGTTGCTAACCTATTTAAATTTTTGACTTGAGCGTGGAAAGAACAGCGGGACTCTACCCATAGTTTTCTCGCGAATTTATTCAAGAATTTTTGTTTGCTATCTCGCTGGGAAATTGCAGAGGCCGGTCTAGTCGTTGCAACCGGGCCAGAGGCGAGGATGCCCGGTTTCTAAGGCGACTGCCTCTAGAGTACTCGGTTCTGGGGTTCCTGGCCTGCAGAAAGCTAAGAGAGGAGAGTGGAGGAACAGGAGACTCGGGGTGACTGAATGAGTTGAGTTCTCGCCCGCAATGTTCCAGCCCACAAAGATCCGGGCTGCTCCTGGTGTGGCGGAACGACCAAAAACATAGCTGGCCGAGAATGGGGAAGCTGAGCCCTAAACTTTGAAGGCAAGCCTGGGGTATTTCGGCTTTTCTTATTAAAGAAAGTAAATCTATTCACCAAAATCCAAACAATAAAAAAAAGCCGGTTTTCCCAGCGGGGGTGGAGGTAGATTCAGTAGTGAACTGAAAGAGAAAAGTATATTGCTTTGGTTTGTGTTTTTGTTTTTTGTTTGTTTGTTTGAGGATTTTTGAATGTACATACATATGTGTATATATAAAATGTTGAGGTGGCAGCTACCCTATTCCAGACTCTGAGAGTAACGCAGCCCCTTGGTATCGATCCTGCCCCGCCTGAGTTGGGTCCTTTATGCTCTCCATCCACAAACTAAATACTCGAACCCTTTCCCTAAACTTTTACCTTTCCTACCAACCCCTACCCAGAAGCAAACAAAATTAATAAATTGGAATTTTTTTTTTAAAAAAGAAGCCCAAACAAATTTCCCATTGTCGGGCCTTCTTTCGATTAGTTTTTTTTCCTTTTCTTTTTCTTAATTTCTTTTTCTTTTTTAAAGAAAAAAAATCAACCAAACAGAAACCAGCCAAAACCTTCTTTCCCGCCGCGTCCTGAGGGGTCCCCCGTCCCCCAGTTAAACAGGTCGAGGAGAAAGTCAGTGGAGCTGCGGAGGTTTCTACTTGCTCTGTTCCGCCCCTCCTTGGGCCTCCAGAGCTGGAAGAAGGAGACAGTTTACGCTGAGGTTTCGAGCATCCCTTTGCCTACATAAAGGGTTTGAAGACCTAAAAGTCTCTGGTCTGGACTGGAGGGGCGTGGAGTGGATGTAGAGTGGAGATCAACAGCCCAGTAAACCTGGCCATGTGGCCGGGTTTGAATCCCTGAGATACAGTAGATCGGCCGGGGACACGGTTCAGGGGACCAGAATTCTGGGGACCTTGTGGGCTCAGGCTTATTGACAGCGGACTTCGCCGGCAGGCAGCTTGTCTCAGCCAGCCCGACCCGGCGCATACCACCGGACACCTCGTTCGCGCCCCTTTCCAAGAGGTTAAGTGGTGGACAAGTTAATAACCCAAACGAACCTCGACTTCAGAAATTGGGGACCTACGCCACGCGGGCCTCTCGCTCCCTGGTTTGAGAACTCAACACACTGACTAACCTCTTCCCAGGCCTCCAGGAGAGCCCACCCGGAGCAGGCTCGGCCCCGTTAAGGAGGCAACCAAAACGGCGCGCTTCAGCTCCGCGACGTGGCACGTACCTTGGAATCGATGACCCAGATATCGGTAGCGGTGGATGAGCCAGGGATAGAAGGTGGATGGGTCCCGCTGCTGCGAGGCGAAGAGGGGGTGTGGCGAGTGCGAGGAGGGTAAGGGGTGGGCGGCCAGGGCGTGCGGCGGCGGCACCGGGTGCACCGGCACGGCGGGGTTGGGCGGGTGCGAGACCGCCTCGGCGAACACCAAGTCCGGGTTGGAGTAGACACCCCTGCCTGCGGCGGCGGCTGCAGCGGCCGAATGGAAGCCGTTGAGGAACGGATTTATTGGGCTGGAGTTGGCGTAGCTGAGCGCCGCGGGACGGATGGGATCCTCAGAACGCGAAGCAGGCAGGGGACTGTCCTTGGCCACCAGCGACTCGATGGTGAAGCAGCGCTTGGGCGCCGGCTGAAACATGCTGCGCCGAGGAGCGGGCGCCCGGGGCTCCCTGCTCCCGGCGACCGCAGCGCGCTGCCTTCGCCGCCCGCTGCCCACGGCGAGGACCGACGAGAATTGGGGACTCGTTTGTTTGGGGTGGGGGTGGGGGTGGGGGGGAAGGAAAGGAAGGAAGAAAGAAAGGAAAGGAAAAAGGAAAGGAGGGGGGAGGGGGAGGCGAGGCAAAACCGAAGATCCCGAGAATCCTGCACCAAACGCGCCCAACCTGGAGAGAGGGGGGAAAATCCTTCCAGAAGAATTTGCAGGCGTGGATTGGGGTAATATTTTTTTGAGCGAGATGGCGTGGGGGGAGATTGGAGTTAAAAACAGGGAAGGGGGGTTCTCGGGGGAGGCCAAAAAAAGTTTTCTCTCCTTTGCAAAAGGCGGGCAGGGCGCCCTAAGTCCAAGGACAATCCATGGAAGTGTTCGCTTCTTCACTGGTAGTGCAAACGATTTGTTAGTTCATGAGCCTAATTAGTGCGGGGATCACATAAACAGCTTCCTCCGAAGCCTGGTAAATGGCTTGATGATTGGTCGCTATTACTCGCCCTGAGGTGGAAGGGGGGGAGACTCTTTAAAGTGCGTCAGAGGGTGGCGAGCGCCTGGGAACCCGGAGGCCTGGATCCCGGCCCAGAGTGGAACGGAGTCGGCGCCGCTGCCCCAACTGTGCCTCCAGCCGTCCGCTCGGCCGCCGACCTCTCGGTGCCTTCGCCAGTCGCTCCGGGCTAGCTCCCTCTCTCCCTCGGCGCCCGCTGCGGCTTCTCTCCTCCTCTTTCGCCTCCTCCGCTTCCCTCTTCTCCTCCTCTTCCTCGTTCTTCTCCTCCTCCTCTTCTTCCTCCTCCTCCTCTTTCCCCACCTCCTCCCCCCTCAGCCACCGCCTCCTACTGCACTAACACCACTCCCTCCGGGGCACCCGGGTCCCTGCAGAGTCTTCGGCCCGCGCAGCCTTTGCTGCGGACCCCTGGATCCTAAACCTGCGGCGCCGGCGCCGAAGCTCCTAGGACCGAAGCACCGACAGACGCGCAGATTTCTTCACGCCCAGAGCTCCACTGAGGCTGTCCCCTGCCGCCTGGCGTCCAGGTCACTGAGATGGTTTCGGGAGTCCGGCGAGGGTAAGCGGGCGGGGACTGGTTGCGGACTAGGGCTAACCCGCTTCACTCAAACCAATCCCCACCCCCAGCAAAAACTCCCGAGGTTTCCTAGGCGCGAGGAGGGGGGTCCTCCCACCCCTCCAACCAAGCGTAGCTTCGAGGTTCCAGGGTCCACGCGCTTGCAGTCTTTGACCCGGCTGGTTCGTTTGCAAGTGGAAACCTGAGAAGCCAGCTGTGCTTGTAAGGTAGCGGCGGACTTCCAACTCTCACCCTAGAGTTCCTGCTTTTCCTGTCCTGAGGGCACTCACCTCCTTCCCCAAAACAGTTCTCTCTGGGATACGTGGGAATAATTGGAAAAGGAGTCTTGGGTCCTAGGTCAGAAGCTGAAGTGGTGATTGTGTTTTCGTTCCGTTGTAGTTAGAAGCGTTGACATTGTTACCATTGTTGTTGTTATTAGTACTGTGCCTATTTTTATTCTGACATCTGTGGTCCCGGGGATGGGTTGCTCTGCAAACCTAGGTTTCGCAACTAGGCACTTAGGATCGCGTCTCCGGTCCTAGGCCCTGTCCGCATTTTCGAGCTCGCCTTCGGTTTTGGGATGATTTTAGGGCCGACTTCTCCCGTCCCCATTGGCTCACGCTGTGGCATAATTGTGATCACATCCCCCAGCCTGCTGGCGCTGCTCTCTGTTTATTGGTGGTTAAAGATCTATTATCTATTCATCAGCCGCCTCCCCCACCCACCCACCCTTTGCCAATTACATTCTTCTAAAGTGAAGTACCAGCAGGTATTTTGCACGTTTACAATTAATGATAAAAAATTTTTTTCCTGGCGTCCTTTAAATCTATTACTCCCAGGTCGAAGCCATTTATCCTTAAGAGGGATAAAATGTCTGTGTTTGGTGACTAGGTTGCCTGAGACCCGGGAGAACTAGCTCTGCAGAAGAGAGATGTGAAGTCCTCTAGAGGGAGTGTGAAAACCATCTGATTCCATCAAGGGTCTGGGCCTTAGGACGCGCCAGGAAGTCCGGCAATAATGGGTTCCTTGCCAGCCCTCCTGTTTGTTTCCCGTTTTTCATCTGCTGTTGTTTAGGTTTTGAGTGCTTCTTGTAGCTTTCCTCTGAGAAGGCAGAAGCTCGGGGACCTCTAGGTAGGGTGGGAGTTGAGAAAAGAGTTCCCAGTATTGTTGAGGCTCCAGACAGATTCATTTGGAGACCACAGGAGCTACTTTTGCTGCTCCTTCACTTCGAATCCCTCCAGAGTGTTCCAGTTTGTGCAAACACACTCAGGGTTAACCCAGCAGAGAGGAGTGAGCCTCAGCTTTGCCCTCACAGTGGTATAAATCTGCCATTGCCTTGGACTTCAGACCCTGAGCCACCAGTCCTTTGGTCCTGGACCATTTTCACCTTCTTTTCTAGGTGGCCTTGTGTCTGCGTCCTTTTTCTTGGCAAACCCAAATATTGTAGGCATTAGATCCAGCACTAAGGAAACAGTGGTCACTGAAGGCCACACAGTCCTCTGGGCTGAACTATCTCCCCCAGGTCTTATCTGGGCTGTGGAAATAGAGGCTTTTAGGCGCGCAGGCCTCTAAAGTCTGAAGCCCAGGGAAGGGCAGAAGTCTTAACGTATGCCTAGCCTAAGCAAGCTTCACAGGAACTGGGGGTTAACTGGGGGCTTCTAAAGCTAGGAGCGAACACACCCATTTGTCACACCGCACATTCTCTAGAGGAAGGTGAGAAGGTGGGGCTGGGCCGCCAGAATGGGCCTGAAACTCTGTGGAACCACGTGTGGTGCCTCAACCCCAACCCTACCCCTGAGTTAGCATTCGTGAACGTAGCTGAGGGTATCCCAATTATTGACTTCGAAGGCCAAGGAATCTAAGCCTGTCTGGCAGATTTGATTGGGACCCCCATCGCGTGGGTTTAAAATGTTTGGTCTTGAGTGTTTCCTACGTAGTTGGTACTTGTTTATGCTTCACCTCTTTGGGCCAGGATGTGCTGGGGAAAATGTTCTAGGGAATGAGCGCCTCGCTTCAGATAAGGGCCCCCTTGCCTGAGGAAGTGACATTTCAGCGATTTCGTGGTATCCTCCACAAGCCACCAACCAGCCTCTTTTGCAAACTGCTCATCTGGCTCTAGGATTGCCGCTGGAGGTGGGCTCTGGGTGGCCTGCGGGTGGCCAGTGCTCTTGAACAGCAGGTACCTCCGCTCAAGCACCTGAACCTGAGGGGGCTCTGTGCCTCTCCCACCCCACCTCCGCGGAAGAAGAAAAGTAGGTTCCGGTGAGTCGGGCAGGGTGCAGAAGCCCTAGGAGCCCAGTAATCGATGCTAATTCATGCCTCTGGCCCGAGGTGCCCTGGACGTGTGGCAGAATTAACTAGAGAGTAACTCATTGACCACACTGCCCAGCAGAGGCACCCCGGGGCTCTGGGCTTCAAGTCCAGCTTGGAAACCGTAGCTCATAGAGGTAGACATTGCTGACTTCTGGCCTAGCAGGATTCGTGCCTCCTTTGTTTTTTGAGGACCCAAGAAGGGGCTGTTTGACTAAGTACCTGTACGAACTGTTGGGGTTACCCCAAATCACTGAGATTTGAATATCATAGATTTCGCAGGCAGAGGACTAGAAGACACATGTGATCAAGATCTTGTATGTGTCTCTTACTGAACGACCTGGGTCAACACCTCAATCTCCCCTGACCTCATTTTGTTTTATGTAAAATACAGCCCTTGTGTCTAGGAAGCAGACTGTAGCAGTGCCCGGTGAGTTTCTGGATGGCAGCAGGATCAAAGTGTTTTTTATCAGAGTGAAGGTAATTACAAAACCCGTTTTCAAAACTGTACAGTCCAAAGTGAATTTTTCTATTTGTAATTATACCTAATAAAACTTCCCCCAACTGCACTCATAGCTTCTTTGTGTGACCTTCGGTAAGCTACTTACCGTCTTTGCCTCTTTTTGTCCCCTCTTCCTCCGAATGGGAATAAATGGCAATGCAGTAGCGTTTTGGGATTATTGCAAGAGATAGGCAAAGCAAACTGTTCGGACAGTGTCGAGCCCATAATGAACATTAATAAAAAGTCGACTCCTCTCATGCATGTTGTTGTCATTTTCTGGCCCCAGCCCAGGGCTTCACAGACTGAACAATAAAATTGTATAAAGACATTCCCACGAACCTCACCCCTGGCATGCTCCCCTGTGTTGCCCTCAAAGGCCATGAACTTCCTTCCCTCAGGAGGTGCTCCGGATGAGAGCAGCCTGGTTTTTGACTCTTCTTTACATTTTTCTTAGTGCTGTGTTGGTGTTTGGACCCTGTAGTGCCCCAGCGTGGTGAGCAACACTGTTCGCCAGTGGCCTCCAGGCTTGTGTAAGGTGTCCTGAGAAGGACCAAGCTAGGGCTGGCCACAAAGTTTCTCCAGGTCTGTAACTGTGATCCCGGTCTCTTCTATCTCTGAAAGCTAGCACGGCTGTGGGAAAACAAAAAGGAGAATTAAGACCTTAAAAACATTTTTTAAAATTATCACGGTAAATCCCTTTCTGGCATCCTCCCCAGAGTTCTCTCGCGAAGCCAGCAAGGCGGCCCAAGGTGCCGATCCACGTGTGCGCAGCGGCGCCTAGCGGCAAGTGAGGCGCTCGGGCGCGGCGCCCTCCGAGTTTGTTGAAAGTGTTAGGGGTTGCGCCCACTGCCACCAATCACAGCCCAAACCAGAGGAGAACCTCTGAGGAGGCTCTTGGCGACTGAGAAGGGACGGTGACTTGATCTTGCGTCTCACCTGCTTCGGTTGGCTTCAACTCAGCTCCAGAGTTCATACTTGCGGTACTTTCCCCTTCTCTAAGAGCAAGGCTTTCCTGTAATACAGGGAACAGGGAGCAATGGATAGGTTCCACTCTACCAAGAACTTGGTGACTGGAACCACCTAAGCCAGGAAGATAGCCAGTTGTTGCGCAAAGGTGTTCACAACTCCATGCTTGAGGACCCAGATATCATTGCCCAACCACTGCGGCTTAGAGAATGGGTCTTGTGGGGATCCTGAGTAGAATTAGAACTGGGGTTGCAGGGTGCAGCTCTCCTAGATGTGCGCCCTCTTGTGGCGGGTGGAGGACAGCCCGAGATGGGGGACTTCTTGATTACTGCACAGAGGCCAAAGTGTCACTAACCACAAACCCACAAGACAGGCTTGGGCTGCAGCAGTGGGGCTTTGGTGACCCGTCCCGTCCCCGCCACTAGACACACGCGGACCTCATCTTTCACAGAGCAACCAAGCTCCTCTCTTGAGGTGCAGCAGTAGAAACTGCATAGAGTCTGCTGGAAACCCGGATGGTATGCAGACGGCCTTGGAGCATTGCCCTCGGCCTTACTGCTCAAAGTGCAGACTTGGAGGTGCCCATCCCAGAGAGAGAGTCTCCCCAGATCTCGGCTTCTGCTGTGCTGGGTGATGGGGGGGGAGATGCGCTGTCAGTGAGAGACCCTGAGTTTCTGGGTCTCTGGAAACCATCCTATTGTAAACCCCAGCTGTAGGACGCCACATTACTTCAGGAGACACACCAGGAACTTCAGGCTCATCAATCCTCAGCACACACAGCTCTGATGATTCATTATTGGAAGCAAAGAAATAATCAGGAGAGGAAGGGTGTCGCCATTTTTCTCCATCAGTTGCCTTCAAATTAAGGCCAAGCAAGGCAAGGAAAGCAAGTCTTCTCACACACAAGGACACAGGAGCCAAGGAACATAGACAGACTTGCCCAGGTGACTGCCCAGGACATGAAGCAGCTCTGTCTGCAGGTACCTCTGTGTGATAAAAGTGTGGCATTCCCCCAGTCACCCAAAAGTGGCTCCTCAAAGGCACATATAGGTCCAGGGTGTGTGTACAGTGTGTGTGTACTGCTCTCTGGCAACTTTGTTCCCAACTGCTTTTGAGCTCTCCTTGAAAGCTGGGGAGAATGCCACAAAAACTTGGGAAAACAGATCCTCTGCTGTGTGGGCTTGAAGAATGTCCTTTCACACCTATGAGTCAGTGAACTAAGTGT